GGACCAGCTGAATCGGAGCATATGACTGAGAGCGTCAGGATGAGGCAGGGAAATGCGGTATGCCGTGACGTGGAACTGACAGGGGACAGGGAGCAGCAGTCCTCGGGTGTTTGGGGTGAGGTTGCCGTAGAAGATAGCAGAGAGGACCGGTGCTTGCTGCTGTCTGGCTGAGCGCTGCAGCACCAACACCTTTGCTCCATCTGGAAGAGACACGTATCCCGTGGGAAGGGGCCTGGGCCAAAGCGGGTGACTGCATTTCACTACTGGTTTCTCTCACAGCTGGGCTTCAACATCCGGGGAGGAAAAGCCTCGCAGCTGGGGATCTTCATCTCGAAGGTGTGTCTGCGCGGCTGCCGTTCCCTCCCTGTGTTCTGTCTGTTCCCTTGCGTGTTGCTGAGCCAGCTGGGCGTGCAGGGAGACTGTCACATGCCTTTTGTGCACCTCTGAACTCGTAGCTGTAATTTGCCACGCACCAAGCGGCAACCAGGCAGTCCTGCACCATTTCCTGATCTCTCCCCAGCCCACGAAACATTGCTGGTGCGCTGCAGTCCCCGTCCTCCCCAGTCCCACGTGGGCACGCTGGATGGGCACCGTGGGGAGGCTCTGGGGCTGGGCTGTCTCTCTGCACCACCGGCTGTGCCGAGAGTCACTGCTGCTGTCTCTGCTCTTCCCTCCACAGGTGATCCCTGACTCGGACGCACACAGAGCTGGGCTGCAGGAAGGGGACCAGGTGCTCTCGGTAAATGATGTGGATTTCCAGGACATTGAGCACAGCAAGGTGAGCACTCCTGCGGCCCAGCTGCTGGAGCAGGGACAGGACAGGGAATCCATGCACACATCATCTCCTTCCAGCCTCTCAGCTGGTGGCACCACATAACCAATGCATTCCTCTTATCTTCCAGTCTGGTCACTAAGCAACTCTTTCTGCTTTCAGGCTGTGGAGATCCTGAAGACAGCCCGTGAAATCACCATGCGCGTGCGTTACTTCCCCTACAGTAAGTGCCCGTTAGCCCTGAGTCCGGTCACCTAGCAGCTTCTCTCCCTGGGAAGATTCCACCTGAGCTTAGCAGTTATGAGTCTGTGGTCACAGACGGTGTTAAGGCCACAGATCAGAAAGAACAGTGAAAGAACACAGAAAGAACTGGGCTTTGATTTGGGGATAAGGACAGGAACCAAGTCAAAACAGTAAGGAGTGGCCTCAGCTGTCCACAAAGAAAAACTTGCAGAGCAGGGCTTAGCAACACAGTACTGCAAGGTGGGATGGTTGCTGAATGGAAGGGTTAACTTTAGAGCTGTAGAAGTAGGTACTTATCCTTAAAAACATAGGAAAAAAAGAGGTCAAGTCAAGCCAAATAAGGATTCTTCATAAAACGGAAACTGACCCTTAAATGAAGAAAGAAGAAAAATGTGGAGCTGGGAAAGAGAGGTCTTTAAACAAACTTTTGTTCTAAATGCTCTAAAATAACTTGAAATGACTGGCTGGGGTGCAAATATGCTATTTTAAAGCCAGCTGCTACCCAAGAGAGTAGCAAACGCTGCCTCTACTTAGTGAGGTATAAACAGAATGTATGTTTGCCTTTCACATTTTTGCTAATTCTCCCTTGCCGTCAGCGACTGCCTCTCTGCTCTTTCAGCCTTGCCTTCTCTTTCCATTCCAGATTACCAGAGACAGAAGGAAAGAACTGTTCACTAGCAGGCAGCTGTCTGCTGGGTCTCCAGAGCAGCCATCCTTCCTGCAAAAACCCTCTCCGCTCCTTTTCCTCAACATGTGAGATGACACATCAAGTTTCAGCTGTCGTTGGAGGTACAACTGTCCTGTTGGCTGCAGAGGCATCAGCTCTGCTTCCTGCATGGAGGGATGCCACCAGACTCTTATTTAGCTGAAAGATGGATGAGGCTTTAGTCTGTGCTCCTTGAACGGGGTGTTGGAAGAAGCTGATGTGGAAGTGGGTACCGGAGGGCAGCTTCTCTGGCAAGATCTATGCTTCTCTTCTAGCAGGACCGAAATTAAATCAGTGCTCTGCTGGTTCTGGATCCAACCCTTGTTGCTAGATGTAAGGCTGAGAGGGTCTGAGCATGCTTGAGCAGAGCATGGCCTTTGTCCTCCAAGAGATCAACCTGTTCACTTCTCTGGCGACATGAAATTCTTTCCTTCTTCACTGTCCTACCTCTGCTCTTCACTACTGGGTTTGCTTGGGACTCAAGGAACAGAAGTAAAATCCACTCAAACTCTGCACATCTCTAGCTACACTACTCTGCTGAGGCACGTTTGTACCTCTGCTGCTTAACGACCCCCATGACACTGGGCTGAGACGCTTGGAGCACGTTTCTGAGCTGCTGTGGGCACTTGGCCGGGTTTCCTCCAGTGTGGTTAAGGGTTTTCACTTGCTTCCTTCACTTGGCACAGCCCCATCCCTGCTGTGTCCACTTTGAGGTAAACTTCTCCCCTTCCCTGTTCTCCCCGAACAGGGAGGAAGGCCGCTGTGCCCTGCGCTGCGAGAGCACAGATGAAACGTGCTAGTGATCAGCAAATCTGGGTGCAAATGTGTGGTAGTGTCACGTAAATGGCGTCAGGACAGCCCTCGCTCTGGCCTTCTGTGTGGTGTTTTCCACTTATCTGTAATAACTGAAATAATAAAACGAGTACAGCAAGCAGACTTCATCTTATTCCCACTCAGGAAGTCTCCGTGAAGGGTTGTTGGTCACCACCCTTGGCACCACCCTGAGGAAAGGCCAGGCGCACAGCTGGGGCAGGGGTCGGCTCCAGTTGCCCTTGCAGCATGCAGGAGGAAAGCGTGGGGCCCACGCGAGGTGCAGCTCTGTTTTAAGGGTGTTTTTTCCACTGTGATGGAAGTCAGCCCTTGATTAGCCTGGAGCAGTGTTTCGGCACTGCTGGGAGTAAGAGCTGTGATGGAGGATTTTTGTCGCTTGTTTGAGACAGCCAAGGGCAGCAGCCCTGACCCTTCAGCACTGCCAGCCGGGCTGCTCTTGGCTCAGCTGCTGGGCAGAAAGCTGAGCCAGGCTGAAGCAGAATAAAATACACTAGGAAAGAGACTTTCACTCAGAATAAAAAAAATAATAGCTTTTCTACTAGGGAAATAAGCATCGTGGAAGCCCCACTGTAACACCCTGAGCAGGTAAGATAAGCTTTTCTACAGAAACAGGTGGGACGTTCACCTCTCTGGTCTCACACCAGTTTTGCGGCATTTACACCTTGGGGAAGGAGGATGTTCAGGTTGCAGCAAGGCCACGTTTCCTACTGCTCCATCTTCCCTTCTCCCCCTGTTGTGCTCTGATGTTCAGTCCCTGGCCCCAAAAACCAACCGCACGCTCTGCCTGGAGGAAAACAGCAATCAATCAAACACACGTATCAGGCTTCAACTCCCTCCACAGGGGACTGCAAATACAACCTCGGTGTTCAGCCTTAATCCTGCTTCAGAGCAGTCCCTCGCAGGAGCTCCGGGAAGATCTCCCCTGCCCAGGGCAGCTCCCTCCCTGCCATTACTCAGAGGTAATTGCGCTGACTGGCTGTTTTTTTAAGAGTGGATTCTTTCCCAAGACACATTCACGTCTTTCTTAGGTATCTGACTTGACAAAGCAGTAATAGGATTCGTACTGGCCACTACAGTCTATTTCATCCTCCAGGACTGGAGGGACAGATGGGTAGTTCCCGATCCCTGCTGGGAAAACAACAGGTCCAACAACATTGGCGTTTTTTCTTAGTGACTTGCAAAATAGAGGCCAAGAGTCATGAATGTTGGAGCAGCTTTAGTTTGTCAATGAATAACTCCCTGGCCAGGGAAGCAGACTGGCAGAGGGACTGCAGGTAACCTGACCTTTTGGAGCAATGATAACAGCCCCAGAACAAGCTGTGTTGCGTTACACCCGAGAAACGTACTGTACAGCTCCTCTCCCTCGGCAGAACTCAGCCAGGTTGGTACAGGCTGCCCGTGTGCTGAGCGAGGCCAGTGTGCTTGGATCCACGCAGTCACTTCATGAGAGAAAAGAGATTTTTTTTTCTTACTGTAAATGACTGGACGAGCCTGAGCAGCATCAGTAACATTCCTCTCTGCAGCGACACTCGCAGCATCAGTTATCTGCACCAAGGACATTGGCATCCTGCTTCTGTCCATACCCGCTGTTGCGCAGCACATCATATGCCATCTCTGCCAGCACGCCCAGGATGGGGATGCAGCACTGGGGGGATGCTGAGGGCTCAGGGCAGGCTCTCCCACCCTGCACCCCTCCCCAGTGGGTGTCTGCAGGAGGGGGTTCCCTGTGGCCAGCAAGGCCAAACATGGCCTTTGGCTTCCCAGAACGCCTCACACCCCAAGGGGAGCAAGGGGCTCACAGGGGCCTGGAATCCTGTCACACCCCCTCGAGTGAGAGAGGAGCTGGGGCCCACGGTGCCCCCGGGTCGGTGACAGCCCCCTCGGCCTGTCAGGAGGCCTGAGGCAGGCAGGCACTATGGGGAAGGCG